AATTTCTAATGAAGTAAATAAGATGCACATTTTAAAAGTTGATATAAAGCAATCGAAATCTTTTAATAAATACTTAGTCTGGCCATAAATACTGTTACAATTAAAAATAAACAAAATATTACATTTGAATTTGGAACCTGTCATTTTTATATGATTGCTCATTGAGTTTTCTCATTTTGGCGCCAACAGATTGTACAATATTTTGCGATATTAAAATGGATTGGGGTGATAAAGAAAACCGAATCGCTGTGATTGCATTATACAAAGTAGGTATGGAGCCAAATGCAATTTTTAAAACTCTCCATACGCTTGGTATTAGTAAAATATTTGTGTACCGGGCTATTAATAGGTGCAATGAGACCTCCTCTGTTTGTGACAGAAAAAGATCTGACCGTCCACGTAGTGTTCGTACGAAAAAGGTGGTCAAAGCAGTAAGGGAAAGAATTCGAAGAAATCCTGTCCGAAAGCAAAAGATTTTATCTCGGGAGATGAAGATAGCACCTAGAATCATGTCGCGTATTTTAAAAGATGACTTAGGACTTGCAGACTATAAGAGACATACTGGTCATTTCATAACTGATAATTTAAAAGAGAATAGGGTGGTAAAATCGAAACAACTACTGAAGCGGTACGAAAAGGGAGGTCATAGAAAAATTTTGTTTACGGATGAGAAATTTTTTACAATTGAGCAACATTTTAATAAACAAAATCACCGTATTTATGCTTAAAGCTCTAAGGAAGCTTCCCAATTAGTCGACAGAGTGCAACGTGGGCACTATCCGACTTCAGTGATGGTTTGGTGGGGTATTAGCTATGAAGGAGTGACTGAGCCATACTTTTGTGAAAAAGGTATCAAAACGTCGGCACAAGTGTATCAAGATACCATTCTGGAGAAGGTAGTGAAGCCTCTTAACAACACCATGTTCAATAATCAAAAATGGTCCTTCCAGCAAGACTCGGCGCCAGGTCATAAAGCTCGGTCTACGCAGTCTTGGTTGGAAACGAACGTTTTGGACTTCATCAGAGCTGAAGACTGGCCATCGTCCAATCCCGATCTTAATCCGCTGGATTATGATTAATGCTCAGTTTTAGAGAGTACGGCTTGCTCTAAGTGCCATGATAATTTGGGGTCCCTAAAACAATCCGTACGATTGGCAGTGAAAAATTTCCCCATGGAAAGAGCGCGTGCTTCTATTGATAACTGGCCTCAACGTTTAAAGGACTGTATTGCAGCCAATGGAGACCACTTCGAATAAGCTTTTTATACTTTAGAATGTTTTATATTTATGTATTAAACTAACACACTGTAAAAGTAATAAATGTTATTTGCAATAGATTTTTTTTAATTTTTAATTATAACAGTGTTTATGGCAAGACTAGGTATTAATGACGCAACTTTAAAAATGACGAATAAAAAAAAGGTAGTTTAAAAAAAAACGCATTTTATTTTATTCATTTTATACTATTAAACTATAACAACATATACATAATGTGAAAATTTTGATCATCAAACTATTTCATCTACCTAATGAAGCTACAAGACATATATCTAATATCATGTTAATCCACATTGGGCCGAAAGTTAGAGTACCTAGTAATAGTAAATTGAAAAATGTTCTTCCTGCACTGTATTTAACTTATAGGTTATCCAAGACATAGACATCTGTTATAAAATACTTGACTGAGGCTTTGGTCTTATGCTTCAAGTAACTAAGGGCATTCAAGTTGTCGTGTCTACAAGTAGTACCCCTGCTAAGCCAACAAAATTATTAATTAGTCTCCTTCTGACAGCAACTTCACAACAAAATTAATCCCACGTCACTTTTATTAGAAAATAAGCGAAACATTATCAATTGTGTGTTCATTTTTATTATTATTAACAACAATAATGATGTATATTCATCGATTTACAACGACAATATGATACGGGAAAAAAAACCCAAAAAATCAGCAATTCAATTTTATTCTCACTGATTATGATTTATCAAAAATATTTGTGAAGAAACATTATTTTCAATATAATAATTAAGGGAACGTAAATTATGGAAATAAACGGAAAATTCCTAGGAAGATCCACGCAAAACTGTAGAATCCTTTTAAGTTTTTACTCAAGCGACGGAATGGACCACATACACACAGAAAATAAATCATTAAATTTGGCTAGACCGATTAGAAGAAGATCAGTGATAAGGACACGAACTATTAAAAAAAAAAATGTGTATACGAAAATCCAAATCACTCTAAATCTACCAACATAATATGGAAACATAAAACGAATTAATAACATCAAATAAAAACTAAAACAGGATATGGCTTGATTGAAGTTCTTAATTTTTTACAATACTTCAATGGTAATAATACTTGGCATTAAGAATATCCAATTTGTCAATTATTAAATTTTTTGTTTCGTTGTCTTCTAAAACCGTTTTGTTTTTTTGTGTTTTATTGCTAATGAAATTTCGTAGGTTTTCAATCTTCTACGTTTTTTCAAGTTTCTGCGAACAAAATTTAAACATTCGCTGTTATTTGCTTCCGAACTAGAAGAAGTGTAACTAACATTAGACAGGTTCTTACGCATAAAAAATATAATGAATATATTTAGATATGTCAGGGTTGTTAAATACACTATTATTTGAAAATATAAAATAAAAAAAATATAATTCGAAATGTTATAATTGCGAGAACCGTAGTTCGTAACATAGTTCTGAAGCTACCTGCCAGAAGACCACTATTCTACCTTTCCTTGGATGTCATAAATAAAAATCTAACCAGTTTACCGAAGAATGAGCCGCATTTTCTAAGTACCAGCTACCCACTGCCATACCTATTTCTGCCGCAATACAATAATGAGTTCCAGTTTGAAGTGTGGATCAGCCGTTACATAATATAATTGAGAATTCAACCTCGAGTCTCGAGGTAGCTGGTCTTGTGAACCCGCACGAGTAGGTACCACGATCCTACCCATTTCTGCCGCGACGCAGTAATGCGTTTCGATTTGGAGGGGGGCAGCCGTTTTACTTACTGTAAAAACTAAGATTTAGATCTCATGTTTCAGATGCCGACGCATTAGCGTGGTTAACCACTTAACATCAGGCGGTCTGTGAGTTTGCTTACTTATTGTAGACCTTTTTTCTCGAACATATAATATGTGAACTTGTTTTAACACAGAAATATCCTATTGAACTATAAAAATAATAATAGGTCTTTACCCCTGATGTTGCCGTTTTACAATATTGGCCATTTGAAAATCGAAATTCAAACGATTATTATTTCAAATATATCAAATTCTATTTTCAAATTATTCAGTCATTTGAGAAAATTACATTAGCTTTCTCTACACTAAGCGGCAAGTTCATAGGTAAATACTTAAATCAACCTCGACTATGCAATGGAAGGATACTGGCTGTGAAAAAGCTAATGAATAAAATCAATGTGTTTTTGTAAAACAAAACGTGCCATGTTTTTATTCCAAAATCGCGTGACGAAATAATTGTGTATTTTTATGTGCACGTGATTTGAAAGTTTGAAATATTTTTAATTGGGTAGGCATGATATTGCTTTGTGTTGAGTATCACTGTTAGTTTGGAAATTAGGTATAATGGTATAATTTAAATATAGTCTTTTTTATTATTCTTGTACACAAACGAGCGTATGGCCCATCTGATGGCAAGCAGCTAGCGTGGTTCTTGCACGTCAACAATACCAGAGGCACAGCCAAGCATACCATACATCAAAATAAAATAAAATACTGATAACTTTAAATTCAAAGTAAAAGACGGCCAACAAAATTAAATTTATTAAACTATATAAGATTAACTATAGATAATAGATAATGATTATGCTTTATCCATACTGTTGATTTATTCTGTGTATGTAAGTATATTGGAATATAAGTCATATAGTGATTTCATATTATATTTAACGGTATTTATCTATTTATTATATCTATGTATGTATGTATGTATTTATTTTCTTTAATAATGAATTATCAATACTACACCACAACATACCTGCTGTATCTTTATTTGTCCAGAATTTCGGGTAATTAAATCGCTTTTAGCGATAAGACCGCCTATTGTACAAACGTATCTGCTTGTTGACTGCTTTCTAATGCTAACTGTGTTTTGATGTGCAATAAAGTATGTCCTCTTTCTCTCTCTCTCTCTCTCTCTCTAAGATAACTTAGGAAAACCGGTAATGTACTTACTTGCACATAAATGGGTTGGACATCACTACTTGTATAAGTTTCTTCGTTGTTACCGGCATTTCCGCTCGTAGCCAAAACCATCAGTATTGGAAAGTTCTTGGCAGTCTCAACAACGCGAGACCCCTTATGTCTTTTTACGGCTGTAGGTGGTGCAAGTAAAGGGGCTATTAAAACCACCTTCGTTTCACTTTCTTCATCAGCATTGATCACAATCAAATGAACTATAGCCAATACGATTGTAACTTCAAATATAATACCAAGTTTCATCGCGTCTATTACTAAATGTTATGGGTAAAGCTTTAAGCCTTTATTTATATAAATGCATCTCGATAACGATCACGATTTTTCAAATTGACGGACAACAAGAATAATTTATGATTAAGCGTTAACATGTAATTAGAGAATTGATATTTTAAAATCACCTTCGATTTTTTTAATCATCTGTGAATAATAGGAATTTATTGATGGTCATACAATAGTTTTTCTTTTAAATACGTACATTTATAATAGTAATTCATTACGGTAATTTTGCAAGGGATTACGTCATTCAGAAGTAGATAGTTAAAATAGCTTATAAAGCAGTAAAATTTACATAAGAAGAAAATCTTAATTCAAGATGCATTATCAACCGTATCCGCGGGTGATAAAGTTGTTTTTATATTCCTCTGTCGGCTGACATGCGACGATTCGGCTTGAAAGTCATTAAAAGTTACATGAAGAATGGTAAAAAACACTCACAAACTCAAAACGCTACTACAAGCTCAGGAACAAATTCTATATTTATTTTAGAAAGTTTAAAAAGCAAAGAACAATGATATTCAAAATCTTTAATAATTTAAATGGTGGATTAGACAGACTTAACAATGAAAACTTCATCTTATCTCCTCAATCACATAAGAGATTGCTAATGCAAAATACAATAATTTAAGTCATGATTACCATCGTCACAACATCGTAATAAACTACATTTATTTAGGTATATCTCTCAGTCTATGGCGGCTCCTTATTTTCATAACATCTTCACAACGCTTTGTGTCCTTTAAGCGAAACTGGTTCTACAAGTTTCTTATCGAGATCATTATTATTTTTGCTCTGGAACAAAAATGTTAAAGGTAATTATCAAACAAAGATAATTTAGATAAAAACAAAATCAAAATATATATCTAAGAAGTCGTTTTGCTAAAAACGCTCATCCACGAATAACATAAAAACCGCTATGTCAGGTTTATTGACACGTTTTGCATATTTGAAATGCGGAATGCTAGATAGCTAAATATATACATGACATATAATATATATTAAGTTGGGCAACATCTAATTAAAATTTGAGCAACGACGTAACTAATGAATGAATAGTCGTACAGACCCACATACTCATTAAATGTAGGTAAGAACTATTCATGTATGTAATGTCTAAATTTTAAGCGTCCATTGGGTTTTTTTTTATTGCCCTTTTAGGCAGACGAGCATACGGCCCACCTGATGGTGAGTGGTTACCGTCGCCCATGGACTTCAGCAATGCCAGGGGCAGAGCCAAGCCGCTGCCTATCGCTAAAAGCCGGTTTGCCGTAATTGGAAAACAAATGAATAAGAAAAAAACGGAACTATACCTTCACATATAAATACTTCTTTTCACTTTCTAATGACAATGCTTCATCTTCAGGTTGGAAATATATCCCATCTGGTGCCTGTATTTTATCTCCCTTTATTCTTTCAAGCTCCAAGGCTTCTTGTTCGGTCGGAAAACCTCTCAGAAGATCAATTAAATCAGCACCACTGACTTTGTACAGTTCTTGATCTTTTGCGTCATTGTAATTAAAGAGTGACAACAAAACAAAAAGTACACACCACTGCATTTTGTACAGGTCCCCCCTCAAGGATATCACAAGCTAAAATGTAGCGGTAGAACGCTGTCTACTATTTATATGTTTTCTTTTGTATCGTAATTTAGAAACAAAAAATCGGTTTACGCAAAGAAATCGAACACATCTCACGTGTTGGATACGTAAAACTTGCAATGTTACCAACATCGAAAGTTAATTGACACCGCATATAAAAATAATATGAGGTGGGGATCGAGGAAACGGCCAGTTAATTTATTTATTAAGCTTGTTTTATGGATCCTTCACACTAGCCAGAGTTTCTGGTACGAAAATTAAAAGAAAATCGAATGTCTTTCGAAAGCTTAGATTGTATAAAATTGAATATGGAACGTCTCCGTATTTAATGAATGGCGAAATAATCTAAAACGTCATTCATTCAAAAAGTTTCAAGCCAATTTTACGATACTGGCAATAATTAAAAACAAACATTTTAAGATCTCGTTTATTTAAATATCGAGAAATTGTAAATAGTGTAAATAAAAACACTAATAGTTTAATTCAAAAATATTAGTAAAACATATAATTATTATTTATATTGGCTTTCGATATTCAGTTGGCGATTAATGTATAGGATAGAAACGTGCGATTTTTGGCACAAAAATTGACCGACAACCTCTTGCCGTGTAAATTGGACTTAAGTCTTGTTATATTTTTTATTAATAATTTACTGTCACGTGTAAGGTACACGATGAATCATTCAATTTTTAATGTATTGTATTTCTTTTATTTATTTATTTTATCGTTCGATTTAGCTAAAAATATGGTTTTAAACCGGTTATAAAAAGGTTTAATTAACGTTTTTATTAAATTTAAAAGGTAGTTGGGTAGTAGCTTGTGTAAATACAGTTGTTTTAAGTTACAAAATTTCCTTAAATTGTAACTTTTTTAGCGTATATGATTTTTCAGTACACGCTACATCTAGAACAGATGATTTAAAAATAAATAGTTTATCTGATGATGATCATAGTATGATTTAAAAAACACTTATTTATTGCATATTGCATAATAATATTATACAATTTATTAATTTAATAAAAAGGAATTTTGTTTTTTGCAAATTTATCGAGTCTTGCAGAATTCTCGGATTCACCATGATCAACAATATTCAAGCCGAGAACAAAGAACCTATCGTTATTTAATTAAACCTGTTTTTCAAGTTATCTTAAAGGAGTACGTCGCTGCCTACCTACCTATCTTTAGATACAATATATATTATATGTAAAAACAGGTATGATCATTCTGTTCGTTATCTGATAATAACAAGTTTTTAAGCACATAACTTCAGTATACTGTACCAAAAAATTATTAAACGTACCTACACTTCGTCACACACACGTCTTTACACATATTTATTGCGTAGACTTGAACAAATTCGCGGCCAATCTTATTTCAAGTTGGCGGTTGTTTGCGATTTGAGGTCTAAGTCAATTTTCTTTATAATAACAGGTATTAAAGTTTTTGCTGATTTCATTTTCGTTAAACGATGTTACTCCTTCATCGTGGATGTTATTCGTGAGCATGCGTTAAGTACCTACGTATTTCTATGGAAAATTTGTACCTGTCCGCGAGAATCGAACACTGGCAAATTGACATCGCTTGACACGATTACACCGAAGCGCGGGCTTCATATCTTTTAGGCCACGACTAGTTATTTATATTTGGTAGGTAGCAAAATATAGTTACTAACGTATTGTGAGCTGCTATGAGAAAAAACAATTACAGAATTTTTTTGTGAATTCATTTGAAAGTATTATTTTCTCTTAGAAAACATACACTATGTACATAATTTATACTACTTAGTCTGGCCATAAATACTGTTATAATTAAAAATAAACAAAATATTACATTTGAATTTGGAATCTGTCATTTTTATATGATTGCTCATTGAGTTTTCTCATTTTGGTGCCAATACATTGTACAATATTTTGCGATATTAAAATGGAGTGGGGTGATAAAGAGAACCGAATCGCTGTGATTGCATTACACAAAGTAGGTATGGAGCCAAATGCAATTTTTAAAACTCTCCATACGCTTGGTATTAGTAAAATGTTTGTGTACCGGACTATTAATAGGTGCAATGCGACCTCCTCTGTTTGTGACAGAAAAAGATCTGGCCGTCCACAATTTGGAGTCCCTAAAACAATCCGTACGATTGGCAGTGAAAATTTTTCCCATGGAAAGAGTGCGTGCTTCTATTGATAGCTGGCCTCAACGTTTAAAGGACTGTATTGCAGCCATTGGAGACCACTTCGAATAAGCTTTTTAAACTTAAAATGGTTTTATATTTATGTATTAAACTAACATATTGTAAAAGTAATAAATGTTATTTACAATAGATTTTTTTTTATTTTTAATTGTAACAGTATTTATGGCCAGACTAAGTATTTAAATTAATATTGTTTTTATCGCAACATTGAAATTCTCGGTTTATGACTGCATAGCGCCGTAATTAAAAATAATTTGTGTTGTTTAACCCAAGGAGATTTGACTAAATTACCTTACAATTATGCATACAATGATGAAACTAAATTCATGGAACAATTGTAAATATTATAGGTATTATCTTTGTAAAAATATGAATGTTATTCTTGAAATTCAAAATAACATTCGTAGTTTGCTTGGTTTATTACAAATTACATGCAAGTTAACTATTTAAATCTAATTAATTAATGGTCTCAACTTTGCTGTAGCAGCGACCCATGCATGCCTTATATAGGGTACTAGCGACCCACCCTCGCTTCGCTTCAGAAACTGTAATTTATTATTGATTTCTCCACTATTTAATGGATGTTATTATACATATAAATCTTGCCCTTCAATCACTCTATCTATTAAAAAAAAACCGAATCAAAATCCGTTGCGTAGTTTTAAAGATTTAAGCACACATAAGGATATAGGGACAGAGAAAGCGACTTTATTTTATACTATGTAGTGATGATGTATTTGGCACAGGTGGTCCCCCTAGTATTAAAACGAAAATACAATTTGCCTTATACCAGTAATATTGAATTACCGGAACCAAGCATAAATACTTTTAGCTGTTAGAAGGAGGGCCATTTTTCATTGGCTCTTAATGCAACGCGAAGGTATCTGGTAGCAGCCAGCCGTTCCCCGGACTCTTTTGAGTTGTCTGTCAATCTTTGAAGTTATACTTCTTTAGGCGCGTTATGAAAAATTGATGAGAGTGACATTTTACGATGCGCGCGCACCGTGACACAAAATTAACAGAAATGAAGTTGCCCACTAAATCGCTCATTACAATAAGACCGACGTAACTTGGCGAGTCTGAATATAGCCGCAGGTGAACTTTCGCGCATGTACACTCGTAAAAAAAAGTGTTATTAGCATTTATTTTTTAACGTTAAATATTTATTATTAATTATTTAATATTTAAAAAAAAGGAATAAATTTAATAAAAATAAAGTATAACTTCTTACGGGCGTACATAAGTACTTGGACCCTTTTTTTTTAAGAATAGTGTTAGAAAGCTTAGGTATAATGGAAATCGAATTTGTATAGGTTTCATGTTTCAAATTACAAATACTACGAACTGTCTTTGTATTCGGAAGTATTTCATTATACCCTGCTTTGTCATGTGATTTTTTTGAAGGTAGAAATTATTGTTCGCCTGGAGGCCTTTCCAGTTTTACCAGGATGATTTTTTTGGAGGGGAAATTGAATTTCTATCTAATCTACTGATAAACTGCTGAGCCCATAGTCTTGATCCAATTCTCGCCGCTTATCATGAGACACTATATCACAATACATGGTATGGTATTTCCAGTTCTGCCGCGACGCAGTCGTGCGCCCCTTTCTCTCTCTCTCTCTCTCTCTCTCTCTCTTAAGAATGTTTCTGTTAAGAGAAAGAGAGAGAACAAAGAGTAGGAATATTGGGATCTTGATCTCACCTCTCAAGATCTTCAAAGAAGTACGGGAAGTGTGATCTACAAATCGTACTATATTGTCTACGGGCCCTACTATTCACTATTACCACCAACCAGAGCGGGAGGCGTTATTGTTACGATCTCAACGGGTCACGGCATCTTATAAGATATGAAACTTTATTTAACGTTAAAAATAATTAATGAATACGAAAACCATTTCAATTTTTTTTATTTTTATAACAATCTATTGCTTCGTCTTCTGATATTCACACCGACGTATTGATTTTAACCAGTTCTAGAAGAAGACGTTTCTTACGCATCGAAAGCTTGGTATTCGTCCTGAAATAGAGAAAGGATTATGTTTAGTACATTTTGTTGTTGATGTTGTTTTTGGGCGGTTATTGAACGACCTCACGGGGCACCTGGTGTGGAACAGTTATCAGAGTCCATGGAGATCACGAACATCTTGAGACTTGAGTTCTAAGTATCAGTTATATAAGTACAATGGCTTTCCCAACCTTCAAACCTACCCGTGCGGACTCGCAAGACGCCTTGTCACCAGTTTATAAAATGACTTCATATTGAACTTGAATTTGCTATAAAATTGAAGTGGTTCTATGTTTAGAGCTAAAACATTTATTTTACAATTCTAGAATTCAAAATAAATTAGATATATAAACAGTTGTGTGGAGTTCGAAATGTATTTACCTCAATATATAGTACTGTTCTACATTTACTGTGTACATTGATATACGAAATAAGAGCTTCTTTGTAAGCTGTTGCCTAATACTGACATGGCGACATCCGTGAAAGCAATATCGCTTTTCATATCATGTACGGCGAAGGCAGTGAATACGTACATATTTCTGTAAACTTTAGTAGTTGAAACATATCATATATATAACATATATATATATATATATGTTAATACGTGAAACAAAAACTTTGTATCCCTTTTTACGAAAATTGCACAGACGGAGGAGCATGAAATTTCCCACACTTATAGTGCATATGGAGAAGAAATGCAGAATGCTAATTTTTTTTTTAATAATGCCTTAAGAAGCACACGCATACTCTTTTGTTTATTGTCAAATTTATGACACTTAAATGTCCAAAATAGTAGTTATTGTATTATTTAATTCGTCATCGCGATAGAACCAACTGTGCACGATATTTCAGTTTTTTAGGCATTCAGAAAAAACGTACCTTACTAATTTTTTATTGAGTAAAGAATACGAGAAATGCCGTAGGTATGTTTTCTAGATGGACTTCATAATACTTATATTCTAAAAACCCTATTTTTATTTCTGAAAAAATTGAATAGCAGTCGCGTGAAAATGAAAACATTGATACGCGCGCATATTTCTTTGTTGTACATTCTAGTCTGAGTTGTGTGGTACGTCCGTGACGAGAGTGAATGTTACACTTACTTGTACTGTCTTAGTGCTGTATGGATAATTAACCTCCTCTGTGGTCATAGTATAGGCTTTCCATACGCTAGTTGGCCTGATGGGTAAGCCGGTTGAAACTAACAACGGAGGGAACACGTACGGCGGGAACACTCTCGGAACGGTGGAACTCGAAAACGGCTTAAATACAGGCGTGGGGTTGACCCATTGCGATCCACTAGCATCTGACTCGCTCGGCAACGGGAACACTCGCCAAGCACTCGTGAAACACACCAAACATATTAAATAAAATATTAATAACTTCATTTTCCTCTTCGAATTATAGCGGAACACGAAATCTTTGAATGACCGAGCAGGCCAGAATGAATACCGGATTTTTGTTGCGTGTTTAAAATGTTAAAACCAGCTAACCGTGAGGCGGTTTTTTGAATACGACTGTAAATCATTAAATTTCGTTTTTCGAAATCACGGCAGGAGCGTAAGTTCGATTTGAATAATTACGTGTAATACCATACGTTCCCGTTCGGAAACAAAGTTCATTTTAGTTTCGAAATAAAAGTCGCAAATGACTTTTTGGTTCTGTGATAATTTCAATGTGTGTGTTTTTTTTGCTAATTTCTTGATGTCGAAACTTGAGTTCCGGCTACATTTTGGCTTATGTTAGACCTCGAGAGGTCTTAGGTCATATTAGTGCAAACTAGCATCCTAACAGCCTGAATGACGCAAGCTTTTGAAGGGTGGGGCAGCCGTTGTAACTATATTGAGACTTAGAACTTATATCACAAGGTGGGTGGCGCATTTACGTTATAGATGTCTATGGGCTCCAGTAACCATTTAACACCAGGTGGGCTGTGAGCTCATCCACCCATCTAAGCAATAAAAAAAAGAAGTGTGATGTTGTGGGACACCGGATAGGAACGAAGTTCCTTATTATAAAAATATTAATTTGAAGTTCTATTCGAGGTATAAAGAAAATAATTATTCGGGTATACATTTTTTACTATGATTTTTGTTGATAAAAATTTATAAAAAACTACCTTACAAAGTTATCAACTTTATTTTATTCACAATGATTTATAAAAAAGATATAATAATAATATACAAAGAAACAGATATTTATATGAATAATGATAACCGTCCTCACGTAGACTATAATTATACATTAGACACTGTATACCCATCATACTAAGACTATACATAAATAATAAAAATCTTACGTTACGGACGTTTTTTCCCGGTTAGGGTACCCCTCCGCATCGTTCCATAAGGAACTTCATTCAAAAATATTAAAAAAAAGCTAATTTATGTTGGAAAATCGACTGTAATGTAAACCGATATACGGGCGAATGCTATTCTACAGAAAAGTGTATTGCATAGAATTTCGTTATCAGAATATTTAGTAATTGCTGATAATTAAATGTTAAACAATTTATAAGTGATAAACAATGTCTTTAACCGAGTACGTAATTTTGCTCGATAGACTATTAGTCAGAATGTTATTAGGCAGGGCTTGGTAATAAGTTTGTCTTGTAAAGGTCGCTAACGCGTTTCAGGATTTCACTTTGCTTCCTTTGCCATATGATAGCTACTTATCTAAGCCTGTGCCCCAATAGCTACCGGTACAAACTGAAACGCTAAACATTTTCGCAGATAATTTGGATGGTGGTCGTTACGCCCTAAGACCGAACTGCGATTTAGTTAAATCCATATTGTTTCTTTATTCTTGCTATTACAGTTCTGTTAACATTGAAATGGCCATTTGTAATCAGACAACGAGTATTGCATGAGTCATTGGTTTACCCAAGATCATATTGTATGAAGACGCAAACCATAGTCTTACGTGACAAGATGTGGTTTACGTGTTACGCAACACCAATTGTCGTTCAAACGCTTCGAATTGTAATTTAAAATCAACAGAAACTTCTTGAAATGTGCGTACTCATTCAATACCAAAAATTGTAATGTATCTAATCTTTTAATGTCGCATTTGTGACTGCGAGTACACTTGGAGCATCATCCATGTCGACATTTTAGTATCCATGTAGACATTTTTGTAAGTTTTGTTGTGTGATTCTGAGCCGACGTATCGGGTTATGATCACGTCATCTTTTGTCATTGACCTTTCCAGTAACAACATTTTTTCAAGGTCGTCATCATATTTTTTGGTAATGTGCCGAAAGCACTCAATGATACGTTCGAGATAATTGACAGATAATCATAACGTTGTATTAATATTAGGGGTTAAAGTATGAAATTGTCGATTTGTACTCAAAAATTGAAATTCGTTTTTTTATTCATTTAACATTTATTAATTCAAAACATCTACCATTATTATCTATACATTGCTGTCATCTAATAGGAAGGTCATTTATGCCTTTGCGATAGAACTTTGGTGATCTAGGTTTTACAAACTGTGCGAAAGCATCTTGTACTAACTACCTCCTGGGAAGAAAACTTTACATCACGTAGAAATTTGTCCACATCACGAAAAAAGTGGTAGTCCGTTGGAGCAAAGTCTGGCGAATACTGTGACGAATGGTTTCTAATTGCAGTTCCTGTAGAGTTAAAACGGTTTCTCGTGCTGTATGAGGTCTCGCGTTATCCTCCTCCTTGCGTCGTATTCCTCATTGCTGAGGGTCGTGACCACCCTTTTGTATCACCTTCACACGCACGATCTTTCTCCATCTATTCTTGTCTCTGGCGATGTGGAGGGCGTTGTGAAACGTGGAATCAAGAGCGGTGCGGATCTGGTCGGACCAACGTATTGGGCTGTGCCCCCGAGGTCTTTTCCCATCTACGTTACCAGTCACAATGAGCCTCTCGAGATTGCTACCATCCTTCCGTGCAATGTGACCGAAGTATTCAAGGACTCTGCGAAGACACTCGGATGACAGCCGCGAGGAGATTTTGAGTTCTTGCAAAATTGATACGTTGATCCAAAATGCTGTCCACGAAATACGCAGCATCTTTCTCCAGCACCACGTCTCAAAGGCGTCAATGCGTCTGCGGTCTGCAAATTTCAATGACCTAGTCTCAGCGCCATACGAAAAAATCGAGAAAACTAGAGTTCGTACCAGTTTGGTTTTGGTCTTTGCGGATATGTTGCGATCTCTCTAGATGTTTCCGAGCTGAGTCATGGCACTTTTGGCCATACCACTCTTGGCCATAACTCGCATTATCATAAAGCAATAATGGTGAAGATCGATTCATGAGTCGGGGGGCTGTTTTACTGCAAGTTTTGCTATAATTGTTCGGAGTTCGGCACAGTAGACATCTGCCGTTATTGCTTCACCAGATCGAAGAAAGCTATAGTGGATAACACAATGCTGAGACCACCAAACAGTTACCATTACCTTTTTATTTGCATTTATTACTTTACCTACTTTACTTTTATTATTTTAGGACATTTTTGCGGCGTTTGACCTGGGGTCAGCCATTGCATTTTTCGCTTACGGTTATCGCAAAGAATTCCTTTTTAATCACGTGTCATAATTTGATACAATATTCCTTCATTTCTGTATCAATTCAACAAGGCAACACAAGTTTTAACACGCGTTTCCTTCTGCAGACCAGCTAAATCATGAGCACACATTTTTCATATTTATTTTATTTTATTGATTCGACACAAATAAGTCAATATTGTTGGTAAGGTAAGGTTAAACCATGCCGCTAATTCCTGGGTAGTTTGACTCGCATCGGCTTCTACCATATCTTTCAATTCATTGTTATTCACACGCGTGGGAGGTCTTCCACGTGGTTCGTTCTTCAAATCAAAACTTCCATCACGAAATCGTTTAAACCAAAATCGCACGGTGTATTCATTAGCAGTCCCCTCTCCAAGCGCAACATTGATATTGCGAGCTATTTCTGCAGAGCTAGTTCCGCGTCGGAACTCGTATTCAAAAATCAGTCGAAGGTTCGAGGTATCCATCTTTCTTCTCTAAGTTGATTAAAAAAAACAACTGAAAGTCGATAATCAAATGTTGCATATTTTACAAAGAAGAACCTTATAGGTATAATTTGAAAAAAGTTTCGCTCAAAAAGCTCAAACCATGAAGGTTCTACGTCAATTCGAAGTACCTATTACAATAAAACGGCAATTTCATACTTTAATCCCTATTATGTATGTCTTAGTTACTTAGGCTGAAGGCCAGAGGTACTATTTATTCAAACACTAATAATTAGCAATAAACAATTGAAGCATATATGTAATAAAATATGTGGATAATATAAAGAGGATGTAACGAAACTGTTCTCAAAAATAAATAACTATGATTTGGAAATGAACGCCTCTTTCATAGAGTTGTTGGTTACATTGATTAGTAGTGTATTTAGTGTAACACGGATCCGAGTAAGGGGTGATCTATAATCATCAATCATAGATAAGCTTTGATGTTTCTATATCGATGTTAAGTTTCATTAAGCAACATATGGTACAATAATCGATAGTAGAAAATACTGTTACAATATTTTATAAATACATTTATTTAATTTTTATAGTGTCGATGGATGAATCGTTAGTATAGGCTCATCGTGACTGGTAAGGTAGATGGGAAAAGACCTCGTGGGCGCAGCCCAATATGTTGGTCCGATCAGATCCGCACCGCTCTTGATTCTACATTTCGCAACGCCCTCCACACCGCCAGATACCAGAATAGATGGAGAAAGATCGTGCATGCGAAGGTGATACAAAAGAGTGGTTACGACCCTCAGCAATGAGGAATACGACGCAAGGAGGAGGATGAATGGTTATAGAAATTTTCGAAATATTAATGCCACTAACCACCTTGAAAATGGAGTTATTTTTTTTTTTGTAGACGAGTATATACTATCCACATCATAGTGAGAGCAATGCCAAAGGCATAGCCATATGGCTCTCTGGGAAGTGTTTGTATAGTAGCCCAAGAGCCTGTGGGCGAATACCTGTATGTATTTGACCAAACCTGAATTTAAAATCCGTCAAAAATCGATACCTGTCCTACCTGAGCGCTCGGCGCGTCGACCACTTTGAGCTTAGTGAGTCCTTACCTCATGCATGGTTGGTATAGGGGTCTCAATGTACAAAAATTCAGGTCTGGTCTAATACATACAGGTATTCGCCCACGGGCTCTTGAGCTATAGTGTTTGTTTTTATACTACTGTCCCGCCTTTCGAAACTGAAATCATATTGTTGTGTGTTTCGTCGCAGAAAAAGGCATACTGGCTATACTTACAGATCTTATAGTTAATTTAGTGGAAGAGACTATGGAAGGAGGGAAAGCTATGACTGATTCGGTAGTGTAGTAGTTAGCGCTCTTGACTGTTGCCCAGAGGGTCGTGGGTTCGATTCTCAGATCAGGCTAACATTCGTGTGATAAACCGGTTTGTTCGCTCTTCGTCTGGGTATTTATTATCTATATATTATGTACAAATTTAAATGTGTATAAGTATGTACGTCAGTCTGTGTTGCCCATAACACAGGGTATCCTAATTTGGGGCCGAATAATTGTTCGTGATTTGTTCATAAGCTATTTAGTTATTTATTTATATTGTCTTTTTGGCTTTGAATCTTTAAAAACAACAACTTAATTGCTATTATTTTCTAAAGCGCCTATTTTATTATGAATAGCAAGAGTATTAGAATATGATTTTGATTGATGTACATAAGCAGGACTCATGATTCGTACGTGCCCTATTCAATTTTGTACGGAGTTGGATCATCTTCCTTTCTTTGGCCGTTAGGGGCGCTGTTCCAACTCCATACAAATTTGAGTTAACTTTAACGCGATCGTGAAGTTAAAAATCTCGCACTAAGCACACTGTATACCCACTGAGACGCGCAATACCGGCTACATTGAATAAGAAGCTTTTCATTAGCTTAATTCAATTATTTTGAACCGCAATGCTCCATCCGAAACAGTACATCTACTGTACAATATTATTCTCTTAGCTCAATGGTTGTTGATCTAAGATTTGTTAGATCTATATATTAATACGTGAAGCAAAAACTTTGTATCCCTTTTTACGAAAATTGCGCGGACGGAGGATTATGAAATTTTCCACACTTATAGAGAATATAGAGAAGATGTGCACAATGCTAATATTTTTTTAAAATAATGCATAAAAGATACATTAAATCAATAAAGAAAACATTACACACACTACATACCATGTATTTGACGCAACATGCATGCATACTATTTATTGTCAAACTTTTGTTCTTGAGGTATGTTGTCAAATTGAGAATAGATTAAATATTGTTTGTCTTTGTTAATATTTTTATAGTGTAGTCTTGGCGAAATTTGTGATTATAGAATTATAAAATATAATCATAATAATTGTCATCATGTACAAATTTGCAATTCCAATTAATTATAGTCGAATTTCGACTACTGCGGGACCTCTAATATTTATTATTGGACGATATCATGTATGTGTCAAATGTTTAATTTCACAAAGTGACAAGTAAGTCTCGTTTAGCATAGTAATGGCAAAGTTACGAAATACAAGCAAAGAATAAATAAAATCGTTAGTGCGTGTGTGTCGTATGCTTCATTGATAATCCTTATCTATTGAAACTTTGGAAGACCTTGGGACGTTAGGTTGAATTGGTTATTATACAGGCTGATCCACTCTTCAAATTAGAAATGAGTACTTCGTGGTAGAAATAGAAAGAACAGCGCCTCCAAACGCTTCCAATAATAATGGAGATCACAATTTAAGCTGGTTGTATTATTATTATAACACAATATTATTCTGTCATTTTGGAAGTTGTTCACAAACACGTGTTAAACAAAAATTGGTATCCTTGTGCTTAGTGCGAGTTTTTTAACGTTCTCGATAGCGTAAAAGTAAACTCAAATTTGTATGGAGTTTTTTTTTTTTTTTATTGCCCTTGTAGGCAGACGAGCATACGGCCCACCTGATGGTGAGTGGTTACCGTCGCCCATGGACTTCAGCAATGCCAGGGGCAGAGCCAAGCCGCTGCCTACCGCTTAATACTCTCCACAAGCCTCGCTTGAAGAAGGACATGTCATAGCGCTCGGGAAACATCGTGGAGGAGAGATCATTCCATAGCCAGATGGTACGTGGCAAAAAAGATCTCTGGAAACGCACTGTGGATGACCACAGTGGCTCCAGGTAGTATGGATGAACTCTACTCCGGTGGCGGGCGGTGCGATGGTAAAAACGATGCCGGTATCATCTCGAACAATTCCTCAGAGCACTCCCTTGAGCACACACTTGAAACGTTTGCCTACGTTTGCCGCTAGGGGCGCTGTTCCAACTGCATACAAATTTGAGTTATCTTTTACGTTATCGAGACCGTTAAAAAACTCGCACTAAGATACTGTCCGCGGGATTTGTATAACGACACGGTAGTATCCACGGAATAGATAAATTTATCTATTCCGTGGTCGTATCGTTCACAAAATAAAAGTGTAGAAATGAAATGAAAAATTTACAATTCGTTTTATTATTGTAAATAAACTTAAAATTACAACTTACAATAAAGTTTTAACTAAAAATAAATACATTAATCGATGTTTGCTTAGCCTAATTTTGAAAATCAGAATACAATTTACGGCCGAACGCCGCGCCGTGTTAATTATTGTCTACTTAATTATTTGTCTATTAATGTCTACGACACTTCGCCGTGTGAGTGTTTTTAATCAAATATGAATCGCATAATTCGTAAAAAATATTTTAAATATCTCAATTCTTTCACTTACAAAGAAAATAATAAGTCTTTAAGGACGTATTTTTTTCACTAGAAGAACATTAATTACATTAGACTAGATAACAAAACGACAATAATGTCTATATGCACACGTTGAAATAAAGTGTTTACATACATGTGTTATATTGAAAAAAGTCTGTATAGAAAACGTGACTGCTAACATTTGCAACATCTATTCAGTATAGTTCTATTATAAAAGTTTTGTTTTATACACAACAATAAAAACTATTAAATGTACATCGAATACTACGTATATAGTATGTTTTTGTGGAATTTATTTTACGTATTTCGATTTTCGAATGTTTTTTTTTTTTAAACAGTAAAAAGGTCGTTTTCAGATTTGGGGCCAAAAGCGAGTTATTTGATTTAATTCTCATAATCTTAATGTTACCGTAATTATAAGTACAATAAATTTGTTGTTATGACAACAGGCACATAGTCTTATAGCTATGTATTCGTAAAAACTGTTAAATTAGGAGTTCTATATTAAAAACTACTCCTAACCTCATGCGTATCACTGGTTCGAAATTCAAATTCTAACTTGTTTGCTATTTTTTCGGTAATGCGTGTTGAAATTCGGCAATTTTATTTAATCAGTATAAAATACAATAATAAAGGAAAACTAACTGGATATTAGAACTTTATTAAAAACAAAAGAAGTACGGTTTCTAAACTTTATAAAAAAGTTCCTATTTCAATTGTCATCCGTGTTGGCGTTATCAAATGCGTAAAATAAACACACCTAAATACAAAAAAATGGAAAAATAGAGAAAGTTTAAATTCATGAAATCGTTACTTTTTTGGCCGCAAAATTGAAAACGATCCAAAAACCGCTCCGTAAAACGCAGAATATTAGGTACCTATATATTATCTGTGAGTTTTCAATTTGATACAACCACAGTCACGAAGTCGTCGCCTAATCTCGGTGAAATATTCGATTTTCCGTTTCTGAACGCAGCCGCGCCGATACCTTTGCCTCTCCCTAGAAGCTCTGGGAAAGGAAAGTTCGGGACTCCACGGTGTCTGACGTCTAAAAGACCATCACCGAACGAAGGCTGAAAAATCAGAAATATTTATTTATTAAAATATTTTAAATGTACATTTCTGACGATATGTCTAATTCAGTCACTGCTTACTCCGTTGGAATAACGGTAAGAAACCCGAAATACCCATATAATTCTCGGTAGAGAGATATAAGACGGTTATGGTTGGTTGCTTTCCACCAGTACTTAGCTTTATTTTTTTAAATATATAGTCTTGGTTTATTTTATTCGATTTTTTATTTCAGCGTCGATGCTCCTTCAAAGCGTTGGAGCAGTCATTCGTGAAAGATTATGTTAGATAGGTATATACAATAATTATTTTGGAAAATCCGCGCCTGTCTGCCTGTCTGCTTTAGGATATAATCGTAGTTGGTACCTATGTAATCTGTGTAATCCATACTATTTATTAGTTGTATTAAAAATTATAATGCGAAAGTGTGTTTGTATATCCTTCTTTCAGGTAGAAACGAAGCAACGGATTGTTTTTTTTTTGAAATGATACTACTAAGTCAAGAGATTGACAGGCTACCTTTTAACACGAAAAAAACATCTCATTCTCACAGGACACTTTTCCTTGACCACGCGGCCCAATCACTTATACTTTAGTTATGTGTACAAAAGAACACTTACGTTGGGTTGAGCGAATCCACCAAGTGAATTGAATCCGAAGGCTGACGACGCGCTCTGGCTTCCGAAGTTATTTCCGAAGCCTGTTCCGAAGGATGCGGCTTGCGAGGCGGCTCCTGAGACTGATGGACCGGCAACTCCGAACGAGGCTGCGGCGGCTTGGCTGCTGGCTTGACTGCCGCTGAAACCACTGAAATGCAAATACGAGGTATTCATAAATTTATGTACAGTGAAAATCAATCAAAACCTTGTTTTAATAAATAATAGTTTAAAAAAACTAACAAAATACGCTTTTATAGAAAATCCAACTAAAAAATAGAAAATATTTTTTTAATAAATTTGAATTAAAAATAGTGTAAGAAAAAGTGATTTTATTGTAAAAAAACGTGAGGTGCTTTTCAGGATATTATCAAAAAAACCCTTCTACTCATATCTGTTCATAAAATATTTATAACTACTGATACCATGCACCCCACGCTTTTTTTCTTCTTCTATAAATTGATTTACTATAAAAGCGTATTTTGTTAGTTTTTTTAAACTATTATTTATTTTTCATTTTTTAGTTGAATTTGAATTCTTTCAATTTTGCTTTTTCATTATTTTTTTCAATATTGAATTGTCATCGGTCCTTAATAAGTATACCAAATTTCGAGTTAATGCGACGTTTTAAAGGGGATCAAAACCATGTTCAAAGATTCCGTTACAAACATACATACATACATACGTCTGAAGCTAATAAAAGTGTATTTTGTTGGATTTTCGATAAAAGCGTATTTTGTTAGTGTTTTTAAACTATTATTTATTTTTCATTTTTTAGTTGAATTTCAATTTTGAAAATTTTAGTTTCAAATTTTTTTTTAAATATTGAATTGTCATCGGTCCTTTATAAGTATACCAAATTTCGAGTTAATTCGACGTTTTGAAGGGGGTCAAAATCATGCTCAAAGATTCCGTTACAAACGTCTGAAGCTAATAAAAGCGTATTAAAAATCAAAGTAGGCTTTTATAGGCCCATTTAAATTGTCACGACTTTACTACTGATCTCAAGATAGGTCACGTTGTGATGTCGATGAAGTCCAACTAACTCATGCGTGGCTCATCTGCCCATCTAATTAGAGTAATAACTTAGAGACATACCGTAAAAAAAGAAAAAAGAACATAGCTTGTAATACTTCTAATGTAACTTAACCTTTATGTGTGTCACACGATACACATTTTTATTCGTATTTATTTGGATTTGTATTTGTAGTTAATTCGTAATGTATATTAAAATCTATAAAATTGTCACCGTAATGGTTACGTAAAACATTGCAGTTTGTACGCGTGACACATCAAAACAGCACAAAAAATCAACAAGTACGTAACATAACCAATTTGACTAAAAACATGTCAGTTTCAATATTTGTACATGTTTACGTGAGTTACATAATTATATTTACGTAAAATAAATAATTACGTAATTATTACTGATGTTGTCGCCATCTAAATATTGGTGATGAAATTCTGGTCGGATTAGAAATAATTAATTCATGTTATCTACTTATAGTCATTATAATATAAATTTGATTATTTCGTATGCAGAGCACAGTGCATATGTGTAGTCATCGATCAACAACACTAGGAACTAATATTACTGACATTTTAAAACAGTAACTTTTTATTCTATAGATATATGTAGATTCAACTCACAATCTGTGCTTAGCAGTGTACCTACTTAGTGCGAGTTTTCTAACGTCCACGATAGCGTAAAAGTTAACTCAAATATGCATGTAGTTGGAACATTTGCCTACGTTTGCCGCTAGGTGTGCTGTTCCGAGTGCATACAAATTTGAGTTAACTTTTACGCTATCGAGAACGTTAAAAAACTCGCACTAAGCACACAGAGTCTATAAGCATAACTATTTGAATGGTTCTTTCTGACTTTGACACATGAGGTCTAAATCTCAATTATATAGTACAACGCCCGTCCCACTCTTCAAATTGGAACGCATTAATATTTTGTTGCAGAAATAGGCAGGGTGGTGGTACCTGGCCTTGCCGGTCCACGAGACCCCCACTACTATTATAACCGATGTTTGTCTCTCATCCTAAAATGCACATTTGATGACAATTTTTGGCCGACTTTTATGAAATACGTTTACGTATGTGTCGAAGCAAATCTACTAAGAGTGTAGTCATTACAGATCCTCCCGATCCATTAACGGTGCTTTTATGTACCACAAGCACCGGTCACCGTCCTCGTCGAACCCGTCGCTTGCGACGAAGGGCTCGACGAGCGAAGTAACCCATAAACACAGCCCACTGAGTTTCTCGCCGGATCTTCTCAGTGGGTCGTGTTTCCGATCCGGTGGTAGATTCTGCGAAGCACTATTCTTGCCAGGGTCAGTGTTAGCATCACTCCGGTTTGAGCCCCGTGAGCTCACCTACTAGTTAAGGTTACGCTGAAATAGCCTCTCAAGGATATCAGCTTAGGTAGGAAAAAAATGATTAATAGGGTAATGTGGAATATACATAGCTATAGACATAGTGCACTCAAGTGAACTAGAAGTGATAGATATTATAAGACCCATGTTAAATAATAATATCTAACTTTATTATATAGAAATAACTTTATTCATAGAGAATCAGTCATTTATTTATATGAGATTTATCGAGACTGGTAAAATATCGAGGTGACCGGTAAAATAGAGGGAAAAAGGCCTAGGGGTAGAGGTCCCAAACGATGTTAGGACCAAATAGTGGAGGAACTGAGGGTACCTGTCAGCGACGCAATCCACCAAGCTGCAAAACGGGATCGATGGAGACAGCTGGTTGACGGAATCAGACGGAGTCACGATCCTCAGCAGTGAGGGACCGATCGAAGAGAGAGATCGGGATACGAGATTTTATGTATTATTAACGGCTTGCAAACGATCTGTAGCATTTTCGAGTAAAAAGATGTGTCATTGCAAGCAAATATTTACAGGACATCCGACACGCTGCAAATATTTCTTATGCATAATTCATGATACTGCAACTTCTGTTATCAGTTTACGAGGTTTTTATGTTTTATTTACGTCATTTTTCAAATAACATGTAATATATTATTAGTATTTTGTAACGTTACCTATTATTAGCATTAGAATTATCGTAAACTTTTATCTTGTATAACGCAAGTGTAGTTACAGTGTAATGCAGACGGTTTGACTTGTTTTATCTTATTTATAATTTATAGCCGAATCAAAATAATATGAGATCTATTAATACCAATTTTACAGTGTATAATTGCGTAATTCTTTTTAGACGACTGACGTCTGGGACCTCGCATGCTGTTCTGTGATATATTAAAGACTGCAGATAAAAATGCCAGACACTACGTACATAGGTATTCGAAACGTCAAAATTGTAAAACAAATAAAATTTTCGACACGGTCAGGGATTGTTGAAAAACTTAGAAAATAAAACATGATATTGAAATAAGCTCGCGTATGCATACATTGCAACCATGTTAATTATCATGCATGCATTTTTAATTTAATTATCATTGAAATCCTGTCGTATCAACTAATGCAGATCGTTGAATATTAAAATTGAGTTTCATAAATAAATGCACGTATAAATGAATGCTTGGCACGCGTTTATTAATTTAATATCAAAATAAATTCAAAAGGTTACATACATAAATTAACTTTATAAATTATTCTCCTTTTATTTTGGTAAAGAATGATTGATAGGGTATCCTCATATATTCAACCGAATCTAATTCAAGACTTAAAACTATAAAGCACAATACGAGTTGCACAGTGAGCAGCTAAGCTAATTTTAATGATCTTTTTTAAAACGTGTGAAGTTTAAAAAAAACGTAAAATCTTTAACTGTTCATTATCACAATCAAACAAAAAACGTCACGTCATCGGAAACAGTTTACTACGATAGCGCTCATCTCATTCAAGCAATTCAAACAACTCACGTATTCGAAGCGTTCACGTCATATCTGGGTTACGTTTTCAAATTCAGAACACTCTCAAAAAAACATGGTCACTAACCTTCCGAAACCATTGAATGATGACGCCTGACTGGCCGAGTGTGACGCACTGAAGCCCTCACTGAATCCAAATGAGAACGACTGAGAAGCGGAGTGACTGGCCCCAGGTCCGCTACCGCTGCTGCTAATACTGGCGGTCAGTCCACCATTGCCTGAAGGAGCCAGATTAAAACCGCCACCACCGAATTTGGGTTTCACTTGAGCTCGTTTTTCATGTGGCAACAGCGTACTAGGATCACGCTCTAAGTGTTCTAAAACAGGCAAGACGGGAGGTGTTATCACTGGTTCTAATTTCCTTTCGCGACGCTGATCCGGAAAAGCGAAGCCGGAGGGCGCGGGCGAAACGATTTTTAAAATCGTCGCCAAGCAGAGACAAGAGCACAGGAGCCTCATGGTTGGATCTGATGATACTATGCCGATTTGGCGACGGAACTTGTTTTAATAGGGTCGTACGAGGTCATGAGAGGTGTTGGCATGCGGCACGCGCCGCAGCCTTCAGAAAACCCACTGCGCTCGGTTCGAGACGACATCCTGCCATGTACCAGCCCCCCTCTCGATGCGATCCATAAACGTAGCACCGCTATTCCTTTTTAATTTTATGACGTTATTGTTGAATACGTTCCGAGTAGTTATGTGAGAATTAGTCAGATGATGGCTATTGGGAAATCCTAATGTACAAGTTGAATATCCAATGGTATTTTGATGTACGAGAAGCAAATTATTCTAGCCATAAGGATGTTAATTCAATCGAATATTTTCGTGTATTGTATTTAAAGGATTCAAAAATACACGAGACTTAAAAATTGTTTTTGGGGTAATTATTTTACATTAAAAAATTACAATAAAATTTTCAATATATTGTATTCATTCTAATAGCTTATTTTCGTTTCGTTAATGTGTTTCTATATACATATGAACGTTAATTAAAAAAAAATTAATAATCGAAACCAAATATACTATATGAATCTTTTTGCAGATAAATTCTATTTATTTATTTATGTACACATAAAAAAGAAGACATAGTACAGAGTAATAGGAAAATTTTGTACAAAGGCACAGCTTATTTCTTTAAGAAATCTCTTCCAGCAGACTCTTCTATTTTAGTTCCTGATTCATTGTCGTCATCAGTCTTTTAATTTATTTACAGTTCTACGTTTATTAATTCGTATCAACCGTATTGACATTCATAATGGAACCAGAACACGTAGCAATGAGTGACGGAAGGCAAAGGGCTTATTGCCTGTTCAAGGTTAGTTACTACTTTCGTCAGTACGAAGTATTGAGAAAAATATTATGATATATAAACTATATAATGATAAAATATATTAATTAATTACTACAGTGTGAGATAAACGTGCCTAACGACAACTACTAAAATAATAATTTAGAACACAGGAATATCATGTAATACAATAACAGTTAATAGGCTTGGGCGATAAAAAAATTCATGAATTAAGTATTTATTCAAATTCTTTTAATAAACAGATAATGTCCAAAAGCCGATTGAGCGAACGACAAAAACCTGAAAAGGTCAAAACACTATAATTTAATTACCACTTGATTAGTGAATTATTGAAATATAAGTATGTTGCTTCTCGGATATTATTTAGGGGTTGGATTGAGTTGTCTTTATAATAAGTAGTAGGGCAAATGTGTCGTCGCACATTACGTTCTTTCTTTTTTCTTTTTCTTTCCAATCAATGTAAGCCTTTTGAGAACTAATTCATCTGACGATTGTATTTAGAGATTAACTAGCTGGGCATTTAATATTAACATTATTATTTCTCACCCCCACAAAGATTCTCATCATTAACGCCCCCGCAACTAAGGTGTAGGGAGTCGAACACTCATATAAATATTAGCCTATCCATTAAGTACATGTATTTTCTACATGGATACCAAGTTTTAAGTCAATCGGATGCATGGTTCAGTAGCTATAACGGAACATCCGTAAAAACCACTGCAGATTTATATATTAGTATAGATATTTCGTTAAGAATCTAGATTTGTCTAGAAAATGTATTCGAACTGAATACGGAAGTTAAAAAAAGCACTTAATTCACTAAATTATAATACTAGCAGTATTTCTTTCAATTTTATACTAATTCTGCAAGAGTTTGCAACAAGGCAATAATTTTAGACTAATTTATTCTGAACAATTTTAAGCTGTTAATTAATCACACTTAAATTAATTATTCGTATAAATTGACAGTCTATCACCAAGATTTTTGTTTCAATACAATTAAATTTGTGTTGTGTTTTGTTTTGCAAAAATCTTAATAAACCTAGCAATAGATATTTTCTTTAAGTAATCAATTTTAATGGCCAATTTCAAAACGTTTATGTTTTTATTATTTTAATTACAGTATACAAATAAAAATGGAATAACAAAAAAATTGGAATTACAACGACAAAGAAATTTAAGCCTCTGGGTCATTGTACCTATGGACTCTATTTTGACATGGGTTTTTCCTCACAACCGGAGAAGGTCCGGATTCCTTATTTGGAGTCACCAATGCAAGTTTTATTCTTAATAGATGGTAATAATGTTCTAAATTACCGGTTACCGTATATTATTTAACGAATGTCTTTCGTCAATAAATAAAAATGATAGAAAATTACAACAATTTTCCATATTATAAATTGTTAAAGGGACCACACGAGAAGCAACATTTCAAATAAAAAAAGCAGTTCCAATAAAAATAAAAGAATCATTAGAATCGGTTCCCGCAAAAAGTTTTGCGGTAACGAGTATTCAAAAATAAATTTGAATTGACAATTTCGTATATTTTGTAATCTGTCGTCGGATCCTCGTGACTCGGCATGCTCCGCGGTGCCCTCCTCGTTGTGGTTATGGTAGCACTGGCACTGCGCAGCCTGGCTGAATTTGATCCACCATCGCTCCCGTTCCGCCAGGACTCTACCCCGTCCCGTCAAGACACCGCTGAAGTCATAGACATCGTAACGTCACATATCACCTCAACACTAGATAGGTAATAGAAGCAAGTTGTAGCGGAGGACTTCCTTCACCGCTCAAATTCCCCGACGATCTTAGGGAGCTTCTTAGAGCCAAGAACGCCTCAACGGCGTCTACGATAAGTATCCTACCGAGGAAAATCGTATTTGAATGCGTGCCCTACAACGCGACGTAAAATCTCGCATCGCCGAAGTCCGAGATGCCAGATGGTCTGATTTCCTAGAAGGACTTGCGCCCTCTGAACGGACTTACTATTGCTTAGGTCGTGCTCTCAAATCGGATACGGTAGTAACTATGCCCCTCGGAGGCCCCTCAGGTCGACTAGCAGCGTTCGATGATGACGGAAAATCAGAGCTGCTGGCCGATACATTGCAAGCCCACTGCACGCCCAGCACTCGTGGGTCCTGTTCATTTAGAATTAATAGACAGAGAGGTCGAACGCAGAGCCTCCTTGCCACCTTCGGACGCGTTACTATGCGTCACCCCGATGGAAGCTCAAGATTAGATCAAGGACCTACGTCCTCGCAAGGCTCCCGGTTCAGACGGTATTTCTAACCGCGTTTTTAAACTTCCACCCGCCCAACTCATCGTGATGTTGGCATCTATTTTCAATGCCGCTATGACGAACTGTATCTTTTCCGCCATGTGGAAAGAAGCGGACGTTATCGGCATACAAAAACACGGTAAACCCAAAAATAATACGATGAGTTACCGCCCGATTAGCCTTCTCATGTCTCTAGGCAAATGGTATGAGCGTCTGCTCTACAAATGGCTCAGAGACTTCGTCTTATCCAAGGGTATTCTCATCGATGAGCAATTCGGATTCCGCGCAAATCACTCATGCGTAAAACAGGTAGACCGCCTAACGGGGCACATTCTCGTAGGACTTAACCGACATAAATCATTATACACGGAAGCCCTTTTCTTTGACGTCGCAAAAGCATTCGACAAAGTGTGGTACAACGATTTGATTTTCAAATTATTCAACAATGGCGTGCCAGACAGTCTCATGCTCCGCAGGAAACCCGCTCCTCACCGCGATCGCTCATGGCTGGAGTCCCACAAGGCTCTGTCCTCTCGCCGCTTCTATTTAGCTTATTCATCAACGACATTCCCCAGTCCCCGCCGACCCAGTTAGTCTTATTCGCCGACGACACGACCGTTTACTACTTGAGTAGAAACAAGTCCCTAATCACGCGGAAACTCTAGAGCACAGCCCTAACCTTAGGACAGTGGTTCCAAAAATGGCGCATAGACATCAACCCAGCGAAAAGCACAGCGGTGCTATTTCAAAGGGGAAACTCCACACGGATTTCCTCCCAGATTAGGAGGAGAAATCTTACACATCCGATTACCCTCTTCAGCCAACCCATACCATTCCATCCACTAGATCCAATAACCCTTGTATTATACACTAGCTCTAACACTAGGAGTAAGGACCCCGGTAACCGTACTCGTCGAACTCGCAAACATAAAAAAAGGTATGGTATTAGGTATGGTGTAAAAGGCAAGCCTACCTGCCGTCATAAAAAAAAATGTACGCGATGTTTTTTTTTTTTCAATAAAATATCATTAACTTTGTGATTGAATATTGAATTTGATGTGAAAACAAAAAAAATTTTAAAGTCCTTAATTAAAATGGATAGTTAAAAATTATCAACAGTTTTTGTGTTACGATCGATTTATTGTTCGATCAAGTTATAGCTTTATCAGTGTACATACATATGCATAGACATAAATAATATTTGGGTTCCTCTGGTATACATACACATATATGTGTCTACTGATATTATTTCTGTCGTGAATCAGTCGTGCGTTAGAGTTTAGACGGTAGGACGTTGTGTCCTCTATGGACTCAGATAAACTCCAGATGGGACGTGAGTTCGATTCCGTCTATGAAATAAAATATAAAATTGTATAACAATATAGTTAGAATATAAGAAAGTTGATCTCATATAGCCTCCACTGTGGTGGCAGCCATGATAGAACACAAATTATTTGAGAAACGCCAGAATCTCGCTAACGACCTTTTTATTATATGTTTACAAATGTACAAATTCCCTGCAAAAATATTTGGACTGTTCGTCTAACGACTAACGTCGCCAGATCTGTGCAAATATTTCCCTTTTACATTCCAAAACTGATCGTGAGAAATTTAATGATAACGTCTTTATTTTAACAATTACATAAAATGCTTATTTTCGCATTGGTCTCTTTAAGCTTTCAAATAATCAAAACTAATCATAAACTAAACTAATGTAGCCAAGTTTCACATAATTTTTATTTAATATATTTTTTAATATATTATGTTGTCACCTATTGCACTGCCGTTTGTATTTGTAATTGAGGTGACAATTATAACGTACCTTTTTGTCAATTTGTTGATGTTCTGAATTCACCTATAGTTGCCCATTTCTTTTAGATAATTAATTGATTAATTTAACAATAAGAAATAATAGGTACTTGATACAGACGCATGATAGTTATTAACTAAAACGCTTGCTTCTGGAATCTACTTATCTACGAGTAATAGTGAAGGAACTTATTCTTCTACATTATCCTTTCTGGCAGACTACACTAGGTGCAAAAGTAGGTGAGTGTAGCGTTCGGGGTCACACGTCCGTGTCACGGTCAGAAACCATGTCACATGGTCCCGAGCACGCGAGCAGTGTAAGGTACTT